GACATAAACGCAAATAGGCGTGCTCTAGCACCTTAAAGTGGCAAGAACCCAATATCTTTTACGTGATCTTTGATTTCAACACCTATGCTAGCTCCCTGATGCTCCCGCATACGTTCGCTCACGCATAGGACGTAACACTGTAGCACTATTACCACATCGTATATCAACGAACGGCGATCAAGCGGTAACAACAATGTTGTCTACAATAAATTTATCGCAGCCAGAAACTGCCAAATCAAATATAAAGGTCAGTGTTAATACTCCTTTATCGATAAAAGACAGCTTTATCTTAACTGCAATTTAATTGAATTAAATGTAATTACTTGATTAGATTTTTTTAAATCTGAAGTTGAAATTATATTCAATGCATTACAGGATATTTCTGAGAGAAATAATAAAGTTCTTTCCCAGTTTGTCGAAACATCCACCATTTTTAGTACAGATCCTCCTAAGACGTCTATTATAAATCCGATTTCTCACGGTGCAACAAAGGATATATGTAATGATGATTCAATTAGTAATAAGACATTACATATGAATTGTAGTGTTACAAGTAATTTCACAATTGAACAAAAGGAGGACAAACAAAGGTCAGTACCAAGAGAATATTAAATAGTAATATAGTCATACATACATACATACATACATACATGCATGCATACATGCATACATAAGATACGAGGGGGCGAATAATAAGTAATAATAACGATAATATTCGATAAGAGCATGCATACATACCTAACCTACATACATACATACATACATACATACATACATACATGCATGCATGCCAGCACAAACAAAGGTCAGTACCAAGAGAATATTAAATGGTAATATAGTCCATGATATGTATCATCATGTTTTGAGCGAATAAGTGACACGTTTAGCCTAAATACTATTATTCTGTTTACTCGAAATATAGAAAAAGTAAAGAGAATTCTACAAGTCCCCTAATAATCGAGAATACCGAATCGTATTCTATTGGAAGAGACATAGAGTGCAAAGAAATGCTCACTAGTCCTCGAAGTGACGACAACGAAATACAAGGCACATTAGATCCGCAAACGGGAATATACAGTATACAATCAACAGGTAACAAGCAGGAACTTTGTAGTGGTTAAGGCTAAGAAAAATTTAGCAAAAATAAAAATGCAATATAAATTGTGTATTAAACAAAATTGTACACCAAGCTGCAGATAAACGAGTTATATTCTTTTTGTATTTTTGAATTATGTGAGATACGTGACCTATATCTCACGAACATCTTAGAAAAACTAAAGTCCCAATGTTTATTTCTTAATTTTGTTCATCTCTTTATTTCGTAGCATGTCTCTTTTTTCTTTGACTTTTTGTAATATGGCCTTCGTGCGTAAATTTTGCTGTACAATTGCACGTTAATACTAGTAAGAATTTCTGCGTGTATGACGGTCCTGAATATTGTTTCAGGTGATGCTATAAGTAAGGTACATATAGAAGAAAATATGCCTAATGCAGGACTTGATATATTTAGTACGGCGTTAGCGTCGGCAGATATTAATTTGGAAAGTTTGGAGTATATGGAAGACGGTGATAATGAGGAGGGTGATGATGATGATGACGATGACGATCATGGTGATAATGATAAGGAGATGGGATATAACGATGGCAATGTTGAAGACGATGGTAATAACTTTGCCAGAAGCGAGGAATTCAATATTAGGCATTGATCACTTCAATGATTTGTACGATTAACAAATTAATCGTTAATATGATATATTATCAATTGTTAAAGATTTATTTTCTTCTCTATTTTTTGTTGTTTTAATACGATGAGAATTCACCACGGTAAGGGAATACCATGAATTCCTGGATTTCATCTTTCTTCTATATTCTATTTTCAACTGCTCCTTTTTGAAATATCATTAATTTATAGAGGTGCAAGATGTATCTCGTTATTAGAAGAGACGAACTGTTTGTGATAAATCGAGTTAAAAACGGCAATATTGCAATGGTTTAGGATCTATTTGATTATTAGAGGCGGAATTTTATTGTTCTATATCTAAATTTCTATTTTAAATTTGCAATTTTTTCAAAGTGAATCTTAAAGGAAGAAAAAATACGTCTATAACCACAAGTTAGTGTACCAAAAATTCCGTCTGAGAGACAAGGGTTTCTCCAAGATGCTAGTACAGGAGCAGGGTACAGAATGTTGGAAAATGTCGAATATACCTTCACAAAATCTGGAACGTAACTACCGATAAATATAATATTTCTTTTACGTTTGGAAAATATAAGTTTTTAAATAGTCTAAAATTTTGAACGGTTAAGAAAGTAAATTGTTTAACATTGATTGCCGTATTTTGCATGGCCTTTGAAAATTATCCAAGAAACTTAACCTCCTGAAATTCTGTATCCTTTATGATTTCTCTGTGTCGAATTATTAGATCCTTGACAGCTTCTTGTCAATATGTAGCAATCAGTTTATTAGAAAATAATTGTCTGAATGATATATGAGTGTTGTCCACACATCTATATTTTATATGCAATGAACAAATGTGTTTTAAACACTGCTGCTCATGTCCTTTACTCTTAATCTTTTTCCACACTTTCATAGGAATTAATTGTAGTAAACAGTACTGTTTTGATATTGAATTCATAAAGCACAATCACGCACGGTATAAGCTCTCTGTGAAGTGCTTGTCTTAATTGTAATTTTATATTTGTTAGAAAACTTGTTGAATAACATTAGAGAGAATTGGGGCTGGAGAAAACTTTTTGCAGAAAAATGAGAGTTAGGGTCAATTTTTTACATTCTTATATTTAAAATGGCCTCTGGACATACCAGATTCGTTAAGTTAATAGTGCCAAAATGTATTTCGTGAGACTAATAATTTTCATTTAATGATAGAATTGTTGATTAATTGATACCGGTGATAAATATTTATATTAGGAGCCTAATTGATACATTTTCTTAACTTATTTCTTATTCTGAAATATGAAAGAAGAACTTATTCTTATGTAAAAAATTTGGAGCATTTTTAACAAGGACTTATTCGCATGATTGTACTAGAGATATATAAATAATTGAATCAGTCGATAGGTAAAAATATTCTGTTTAATAAAATAGAGGAGTTCGACGTTCGATATTTCAATCTCTTATAAATTATTTGTCTGATGGTCTTCAATTCTGAAGTTTTATACGTAATCAGTGAATACCATTCAATTGAAATTGCATTGATATTACCAGTTTATTGTCACAAAATACACAGAGATAAACACAGAGAGAATAAATTCATTGTAATATATTCAGAGAAACTAATATAAAATATTTTTGGGACTATGCAATGCGTGTTTATGACATGTCATTTAAAAGAGAAATTGATAAAGATACGGTCTACATGTGTAAACATCACTGTAAATAAATGTGCGTTGAAATACAGATAAAATACGATCATAATTGGAAATAACTATTTTCATTAAAACGTAGAATGATAACTAATTATGTTCTTTATTTAGTTTACAGTAATGAATATGTATTAAAATACTTTGGGATTCCCGAGGAAAACCGTTTTTCCGGTAATTTGTAGGTCATTAGAATATTACAAGACTGGGTTTCATAAACAAATATTGCTCTTGAAATAGTAATTTATTTGAATTTAATTTTATTGGTACTTTATTCACGAGTAGCATGACACGTTTTTCTTTTTTTCATCTAAATTAAAGGCTTATTGAGTAATTAGAAAGGTCGTGGCGGAGGAGGACCACCGCGCATCATACCAGGTGGTGGTCCACGCATTCCTGGAGGTCCCATAGGAGGTCCTCCCCGTCCCATGGGAGGCATTCCTGGAGGCATACCTGCAAAATGGTAATGTTGAATTAAATGAAGGTCCTTTTGATGCATCAACATTTTCATTATTCCTAAGTAGTCTTACCCATCATTCCAGGAGGTGGTCCCATCATTCCTGGAGGTGGACCACCAACAGGCATTCGTGGAGGTCCACCAGGATGCATTTGTGGAGGTGCAGATACTTGTCCTCTTCCTCCTGGAGTCATTATTTGTTGAGAAGGTCCTCCAACACCACGCACAGGTCCTTGTAGTCCTGCAGGGACTCCTGCAACATTTGCGGGCATTCCTCGACCTGCTGCTCTTCCCATGCCTGGTCCTGGAGCAGCTCCAGGAATTGGAACACGTGGCAAGCCTTCTTCAGGAGGTGGTGGTCCTTCCACAGTTAGTGAGACAATATTTTCTCCTCTCAATAACACAAAACCAAGTGAACGTTTCTGTTCCCGTTCAGGTTGCTTTGTATTCTTTGGCTTGATTTTACGAAACTCTTCGCAATCACCCAGAATAAGGTTCATATGCTTATCAAAGGCCTTAAACGTGCCTATAAATGTCCGGGAATCTTGAAGAATTATCCGGACTCTGTAATTGATGTGCTGAAGCATCTTATTATTTTTACCGATCGTCTGAAATATAATATAGATTATTAGTTAAATAACATGTAAAAAAAGTCTGATTATTTTTGATAAAATGATCATAGTTAATAAAAATAAATCATAATGTACAATTTGGTGAAATAAAGTAAATACAGAGAAATATTAAAGAAATCGGAAACGATGCTAAGTGAGGTTACAAAACCGACGCTTCCGACTACATTGAAACTATAGCTTTAGTATAATAAACATAGTTACCATGATGATAGATCGGTATCAGCGGTCTTAATTTAAAAAGTCGCTGTGAATATTCACACAAAAAGTGTATCGAACTAAGCTCACGCTAGAAACACGTTATGCACGCTAATGAATTTTCTGGCTCCAAAATTTGCGTGCTTGCACGCAAAAAAGTGGGAGTAGGAACACCGCTCATATAACCATTGCTCGTAGCGTGTTCTGTGGCGCCTAAAATGACCATAGAATATAAAAACACTACATGATGTATACTTATTACCGGGTAATTACGAAGGAGATAAATAGTTCATGTTCAAGGTGCTTTCACAGCTTTGACGGACTAATTGGATAAGAGGGATAATCAGAGTCCTGATTCGTCAGAACATTTAACACTTTGGTTATCGAAAGGTATCTGTTTTGTCCGATCTGTCAAAAAAGCTGTGATGCAATCGTATGGCTGCAAAGTGTGTACAGTGGCAACTCTAGGAATAACGTACAATGTCTACGGTATAGTTAGTGACTTAGTATAAAGCGCCACCGCTGTTTAACCATTATGAATGTTCTGTCACTTCTAAAAACGTTATTAATTGAGCTTTTACTTAATTGAAGTAAAGTAATTATTAGGAAAATATATATGAGAATATTCTCGGTGTTATTTGCTTAATTGTGAGCACTTACACATTTATAACTTTATTCTAATTTTTACATATCGCTAAACTAACCTCAAATTTCGACTTTTTACGGCGATCTAGAAAACAACTGATAAATTTAATCATTTCTCTAGATAATTGTATAACATGACATATTGCTAATAGCGATTTTAGAGACATTTGATACACAAGAGTAAAAAATTGGATAAATTATTAATTTTATACATTTGCACTTTAGTGAATTTGAAAGGTGATTCTGTGTACTAAAATGAGCACAGACATTAAACAAGTGGATAACACAGAAACAAATGAGGAAACTAGTACAGGTAGTAAAGTGGACTGTTATGCTCCTCACATAAATACAGCCAACAATATTGTTGAAACAAAATGCTTAAGCAATGAAGATAATGAGTCATTAAATGAAAATATGGAATCGAGGAAAAACATGAATTTAAATAAGGATATTCAAAGTCAAGCAATAACAACTCAACGAAAACGAGATGATGATCAAGTCGAAGAGTTTGACACTGATGAAGAGGATGAAGTTGAACATGGAATTAATAACAAATCAAATAAGAATATTAATACGACAGCACCAGATTATTCTAAACATCTGTCATATGAGGGGGATTTGTGTATATATACAGAACCAGCAACAGGAAATCAATTGGTTTGGGATACAGAGAAAAATGCTTGGATGCCACGAGCATCCGAAGTATCTACCAAGGATTTGGAAATCCCAAATGACTCCACAAAGCAGTATGAGTTTGATGGGCAACATTATGTCTATACAGACAAGAGTAGTAATATAACATACAAGTTCGATCAAGATAAAAATGAATGGATTCCAAAAGACAGTGACAAAGATCAAATTGCACAGGTGAGTGGACCAGCTGTAGCAGCACCTGGAGGAGTTTATGGTTTTGAGAATGACACCCATACTTACACGGATCCAAATGATGGATCCATTTATATATGGGACCGTGAAAAAAGTGCCTGGTTTCCGAAGGTATATATAAATTCCATTAGTATATTAAGTTTAAACAATCACTAAAGTTGAATTTTATATTACGGAAATAATTTCTATTACAGGTGGATGATGAGTTCATGGCTAGATATCAAATGAGTTATGGTTTCACGGATCCAAACAAAGAAGAAGAAAATGTAGAATCAAAGGAGAAAGAAGGAAATTTAGAAATACTCCAAAAATTGGACAAAGAACAGAGAAAAGCTGAGGCCAAGAGAAAAGCTCAGGAACCCCCTTCTTGGTTCGAGATTGACGAAGCACATAACACTGCAATCTATGTATCCGGTCTCCCTCTGGATATTACAATGGAGGAACTTACCCAGCTTGTTACAAAGTGCGGCTTGGTAGCACGGGACGAGAAAGGCAAGGATAAGATAAAGCTCTACAGGGATGCTGGCGGTGAACCGAAAGGCGATGCGCTGTGCACTTACATAAAGGTAAGTAACATGAATCCTTTCAGTCCGATCATTGACATAAACAAAAAGTATTGAAATAAATTCATTCAACATTCTCGAAAAACGAAACATAAAATTTAATAAAATGTTAATCTCTTAAATAAATTAATGCAAAGGAAGAATTAAGAAATGAAATAGGGATTTCTATTTGAAATCACTTGCTCTCAGAGGAATTAACCCGTTTCTATCTTTATTTTTATTTTATTTTTCTTAATAAGTAGCAATTCATGTACACATATTATTTTATTACACGTATGCATTTGACATTAAACTGGCGTTTACACATATTATATAACGATGGCACGTGCATCTAGCCAACGTATTTACACGCAAAGCAATGTACTGAATAATTAAACTGATGCAATTTCTGACATTAAACATCTCTGTGCTTAACGCACTATGACATCACGATACACAACTAGTTCAATGCTGATTTGGTTCAGCATCCAAATGCGATTGGAGAATGCATTAATTTGATAAGATGAATGAATCGTCACATATGATTTTACGTGTATAGTTACCTCGAGCTATTTTAATAGAATGATAAAGATTGAGAGAATTTAAATGATTTACTCGAATCATCATCTTGCCGATAACTTCTGGTTCATTGACATTGGCATTTTTTACATTGAAGAAGCATTATCAAGAGACAAACTGTCAAGTGGAGTAGAGTATTTTTATTCATCTCCTTCTATATTGTTATCAATCACTATACAGATACGGCTTCCGTACCTGCTAGGATTAGGTTTCACATAATAAATTATATATCAGTCTACGCGGAATCGTCAAAATTTTAAAAGCCACGTGCATTTTGCGCCAGGACACTCAACGACCTTGGTACACTTTCAAGTTCCAAAGCGATACACGAACGGAGTACACTTATTTAATACATTGACCGCAAAGTCCACCCATATATGGGTGACAGCTATGTTTCTCTCCACGTATGGGTCGCAACGACCGGCGAACTTGTTAACGTGTTAAGTTTTGAAAAGAACTTCTTCAAGCGAAATGTCATTTATCCGTGTGTCAGATTGGGACAAGACATTATTCACGTCGACGAATCCCTGAGCTTGATTTCCAGATCTAATTGGACTGTCGCCGACGAATCCACCATATTCCGTGCCTCTTGGTATAATCTGCGACAGCGGAGGGTGTCGCCTTCCCAGTAGAGTCTCATTTCGGCGTCTCAAACGATCGCTGGGCCTTGCACCGGGGGCCATTCTTGTTCTAGGAACAATAAAACCAAGATTGTATGGCATCTATGAGGATTTAGTTATAAGCCTTGGGGCCTCATGCCGTTAAGAAACTTACAAGGGTGGTGGTCTGTAGCCAAGATTGACACCGTGAGCCCAGTCCTGGTTCGCATTTTCTTGGTCCCAATCTCTTCTCCGATCTGTCTGGGTCCTATTCCAGTTACCGTGAACTACCGGTGGCCTTTTTGGTATACGTTTCTTGCCCTTTCTACGTGGTTTCAATCTTTGGTTTTGAGGAGCGTTCAAGTTCTTCTTACGTCTCCTTCCTGTGCACGATTAAGGATACTAATATGTTTTGCTCCAAATGACTTTATGAATTATCAGACTTAAAATTTTCTTACTTAATCCACCAGCGGGTACTTGACAAACATAGTGTTTCGGCTCAATACATTTTCTCTGATTCCATTTATATTTCAAAATGGGATCCATCACTGCACAATGCCAAGCTAAATGATTGTTGTCCTTCTCGTTTGATTTTGGAAAGTTCATGAACTCCATTTTCTCACCGGAAACTCCCCACTCCCAGTCTCCTTTTCGCCAGTTGAATATGCCGCCTATCCATCGCTCGAGTTTCGCTGTTTAAAAGATTCACTCAAATAGTTAACCCAAGAATTTCTTTCTTATCTAATGCCCTAATTCAATCTTCTCTACCAAACTCAATTTGGCTTCATTCTACTCACTAAAGCGGTCTCCCAACAAATAATTTCTCAAGGTCCGATCTTTGCTCCTATTCAAGACTGCCAAAGTAGCATTCCTGTCCTTGCAGTGAAAGTAGGCTTCCCTCCAAGGCGCCTTACCACCACTCAGATAATAACATTGCCTATTTATTCGAAAGAAACCAATTGGACACGCGTATCGTCTGATTCGATCACTTTCACGTCCTCTTCCTACTTCATTTCTTATCGGCGAATTCACGCTGATACTCTGCGGCTCGACTAAGGCCGCACTTATTCCTGAAACAAGTGCCAAGTGTTTAACTTTTATTCCGTATCACGTGTGCAAACTTTACCGCAGTATGTAGACTCCCATAAAGCAAACGTAACTGCAACAATAAGCCCCGCACTATTTCTTATTCGGCAATATGCCCGTGACATCAGCTTACTTATGCGGCAACGCAACCGCTACTACGGACCAGTTAACTTTACGTGACGAACAATTTAAAAGTCGTTGCAACCGACGGCTCATTCAATGCAAATTTCCCATATACGTTTTATTGACTTTTTGCACATTTATACGCATTTTTCAGTTTGTACAGTTGGACGATCGATTTTATGAATATTTATGACCAGGCGACATGCACGATTAAATTTAACGAACCGGACCTATTGACTTGTTTTCAAAATAATTCACGGTATATCGAAGAAAAAAAGTATACGAAATTTTTGAAATGAAATGTAAAAAATTCATTTTATTTTATCAATAAAAATTTTTATTTTGTCGTCGACTGTATTTTGAGTGATCCTATCACTTAAAAATTACCCAAGAATTCACTCTCCTACTTTCTTGTCGTATCGAATCGTTTACGCGAAGTATACTTTTTTTTCCACGCTTCGTATCTTATCTTCACGCAGTTACACGAATCATTGCAAGGGCACAGTTGTAACTTTACACACAGTGTAAATCCTATCTAATTGGCTAAAGTCAACTAGGAACAGTGTTGCGGCATAACTGAACCAGCCTAAATACCAAAGTAACGTCTTTTGATTCCCATTAGTTCGACTGAGCTTAGAATCTTATGCGTATTTATACCGCCCGCGTTCAAAGGATAGCACTCGAAGCCTAGTCCCTGTCTGCCCACCTCGATCACTTTCATTCATGTGTTACAAGGCTACCTTAATCCACATTTATCACTGAATGCACTTATACGTACTGAGACTGCAAAAAGAAAGTCTCGTTAAATTTGCAAAACAGTTGCGTAATTTAAAAATTCAAAAAAAAAATGGTAAAAATATTTCATCAAATCACAACGCTATAGATACTTTACGTTGCACAGGCAGTAACACTGTAATATCGGGTGAAATGATTTTTACCTGTGACGTAGAACAAAAATAACCAAGCAATCCACATGATCGTTCCCCTCGAATTTAAATTCACCCGTGTTCATAAAAATTTATTTTTTTCCTTCCAAGTCTCTTGTCATTTTCACGCGCAAACCTAGTAAATCACTTGCTCCCTGCGGTCATTGTGGTTACATATTTTTCTATGGACCCATGCGAGTCTAGGTAGATTTTTTTTTTATGTGACACTTTTTTACTTGATCAAACTCCTCACTATTCCGTGGGAGTATCTTTCGTATCGAATAACGTTATGCAAAGAACGTTCTGCTATGAAGGTTCGCGAGAGACTGATGCTGCTACCACTCGGCACACGGCTAGTCGAGTTCTCGATGCCGACTCCACGTATACTTCCCCTATACGACGCCATTCCAATATCCGTGGTGTTTATTGTGCAGCAGCGAAAATGTAGATGACGATCGAATAATTAGTAGGATAAGTTTTGTGAAACGTATATATCGTGAAATTTTTATATAACTTTTGTTAAAACTTAATTTTCACATGTCAATGATCAGTGATGATAATTTGATTATGTATTGGAATTTATTGTTTTATTAAATTTTTTATTTTGACAATAATTCTTTTTACAAACGAACATAATTTTTCTTCATGGTATACTTATGCTTCTTCTTGCCTGCCCATGACATACATACATACTTTCCGCCTCGTAAACGTCAGCGATCTTTCACTACTAACTCCAGTAGATCGAAAGTTTATGGTGCTCGATGGATCTTGAAAAATGGTCACTCGGTCCTTTACCGTGTTGTTCATTTATATTCTGCAAGAGCAGCACCATCTGGATTTATGACTCTGTGATAGCTTTTATTTATCTTGGACGATCTACTCTCGCGCTTCCATCGTTCGTAGAATTTTCTTGTCGAACGATGTTTTGATTCGACATGATAACGCAGAAGAGCGAATATCCGTCAGCTGCATCCAAATGGAGATCCGTATGTACCGTATTGTAAAATATCGGTATCGCAAGAAGTTCTCCGGTGATGAATCTGACACAGTTTTTTCCTCGCTCGAACAGAAGAACCGTACGTAACAAGAGCCAGTAGGATTATCTTATTTATCAAAAAAACAATAGTGTTCCCTCGGCAAGCAAAATGTTGCAATCTAAATCTTCGTGTAATCACAATGTAAGATTAAAAATTATCATTTGACTATTAAATGTTTTCCAAATATTTGTCATCTTATTGCTCAAGTATTTGTAGGTCCAATGTAAGTCTCTTTTTCTTTTTCTCTCGTCTCAAGCATAATTACAAATCTAATTAGAAGCTGTCTAAAGAAAAGCGAGCATCGTTGTTTTTTCACCCATATTAATTATTTTCATTTCTTTCCATTTTTCATACGAGCAACGTATCGCGCCACACTCCCAATAAATCTCTCGCACGATACGTACCAACTCGCACACCCTGTAGATATAACTAGACGATAATTTAAAGCATGACCCTCGAGTCATGCTAATCGTATATTGTCAAATGCTTTTCACACCTGCGAGTCCCTGAGATTTTTCAAAATCCTTCGTGTTAATGTCAATCCTAGTTAACGGGTACGTAAGTCGTTGGCCGGTACCGAGCGCGCATGCGCGTCACCCGACGGCCTATGCAATTTCCGGGAAAGATGCAAAAGAGCAACGAACGATGCCGTCATCGAACAGACAGAATCGGCTGATGCATTCATTTGGCGTTGGGCCATTTGCCAGACGGTATCTCACGCGACCAGTGTCCATCCTCGATGGTATTTTCGAATTGAGTTTAACGACGACCCAACAAGAAAGCACCGCCCAGGAAATTATACAGCACGAAATGATATAGCGTGCCAGACTCTGTGGCACTGTACGATAATAATAATCCTTGCTTAAACGTTGTTAACGTACAGGGGGTACACGGGTCTAGTGGGGCTATTGTTTTGGTACAATTAATTCCTTGTGTGCTCGGGGCTGATATGGGAGGGTTAATAATACCCTCGTGATTCATTGCTTATTACGCGCTTGTGATTACGGGAAAGGTCGAGAATCGATAAATTGTTGTATCGTATAGCCGTGCTCTGTTGGAGGATAATTGATTAATTATCTCGTTACTTTCCACGTGATAAACGCACATAGTCGCGTTATACTCCGTGCGTTAATTGGTCGATTGCTCGTACGTTATTTCAATGATAAAAATTAGTATTTTCAGTTGCTTTTTTATCTCCTGCACTCACACACAGTTTACGAATTGCACGTTTATCGAATATATATAGACTTTGATTGTCGGCTTATTTTTTCATGATAATTTCTCTATATGATTTCGCTCTATCGTCGTGTCATTACGTTATCGTCAAGGCACGAAGTCGTTATAGGAAGCGAACCGACGGAGTCTAGTGACAAAGTTTCCAAAGCAACGACCAATCGCTTTTCTCGCTAGTCGCCTATACGACATGTAACGTACTATGCAACGTCTAAATGCAATCTCTCACTTTGAGCTCGAGTGCACTTTAAATAAAGTTAGCGACTTGGCGATAATCGCGACTCTCGATAGTTTTTATTTAGACTGGAACATAAATCGCGACGCGCGGTCGCTGTCAGTCGCGTAACTGCAGGTTGCCGGTAACTTTCAGTCTATTTGTTGCTCTTTATTCTCTTAACCCTGTTCATACTTTATCGTAGGATCCATACCGATCTGTTTTCTTTTTTTTTTTTTTTCTTTCGGTGCCTTACTCCCGAGATCTCCCGTGCGTTTCTTTTATTTCCTTCTTCGGTATTTTTTTTCTTCTTTCGTCATCGTTATTTTAATGGCGAGTTCGTTGATCGGCCATCTCCAATAACGAACGTTTCGATCGTTAGTAATTTGCTTTCTCAAATTATTAGCTCGTAGCGTATCCCGACCCTGTCGCTCAGTTCGGCCTCACGAGACCAACGGCGTCGTAGAAACGAAGAGGAAAGTGAAAGAGAAAAAAATCCCTAGATCCTTAAAGTCTTGGTAACAAATTGGACAAGTACGTATATATATATATACCGCATTGTAGCACCTATTATTCGTTGAATATCTTTTTATTCTCCGTAGTAATGCGGTACTCCTCTTCTATGCGTCTTCTTGCTCTTGGTCGACCCTAATAACCGTTTAAAATTTCTTTAACGTTTCCGGCATGACGCGAGCAGTTTTCACAGAGATGAGAAAGAGAGAGAGAGAGAGTGCCTCTTTTTTCTCTTATTCTTCATCGTCAGACACTTTACCCGCTTTGATCCACCCACGACTTTTATTTTATTCTCCATAACTGCCATTCATCAGGTACCGACTTCTATTCTTTGCCTTTTGCTTACAGTCGGTTAGGAATATCTCGTACACCCCGGGTAACATGACAATTCTATGAGCTATTTGATGCGAGTACTATCGGTAAATCTGGCGAATTCCAGAATGTTCTAGAAGTACGTGACAAGTTTTAAACCCGTTCTTTCCGTCGTTACGTAGCTTACTATTAGCCGCACACGATATTAAACTCGGTACGTATGTGCATGCGTGGACTCGAAGTCAAAGGGAGAACCAGACTGTTTCAAAACATGTCCATATAAGTGCCCGACGAAAATAAAAAAAGTAAGCAGAACCAAGAGAAAAAGCACGCTCGTAACTTTCCGTGTGTACTTGAATACACTGAGGCATATAGGCGTACATACGTATGTTCGAAATCCGCGCGTATCGTGCCACTGACAATGAGTCACGAGTCACGGAATCACTCGAGGATACGTATAGATATATATCCACGTTTTCATGAGAAGGTACTTGGCGATGTGCCAGACTCCTCCAGATGTTGCGCCACGACGTCCTTTTTCGTCAACGTATGTGTACACGTATGTAGAACGATCGTAACTACATGTGACGGAATGCTCAAATGGTCGGTACGTTCGATTTTACACAATGGACAATAATGGCGTCTAGACTAATTCCGCCTGCGGTACTTTGCAGGGGATCTCATTTCCCGTCGGCTACTGGGATGAAAGTATGTGGATCAGGATCAAGGGATGAGGACACTCATTATCCGCGAATGGAAGTAGACGGTAGTGCGTGCGATCGACTAGTTTCTGAACTGGACTCCAGAGCTATTGATAATTTACTGTGGCTGCTACACGTGGAGAGTACCTGGTGAACAACCCATGTGGAATTTCTGAGGTCAGGAATCATAGGAATTCTGCGATCGAATAATGCTACTTCAATTAGATGTCGGCTGTCTGTCTTGTTCCACGAATTCATCAGGGCTGTTACGACGCGTTACACTGTTTTACCTATTTTGCTTGGAAATTTATAGAGAAATGTTTTACTTATTTTAGTTTATCTCGCGTATATTAAGTGATCTACGTCTTTACTGAGGCTACAGTCCCGAGGTCGCCGATACACTTGAGATTTTATATTTTTTCATATTTCTCGACGATGTAACGGGTACTTGGGTTCTCGTGAGATATATTTAACGGCACTACTGATATTTATGGGAATTATCTCATCTTTACTCTTCGTGATACTTTTGATATGCCACCGTGAAAATAACCATAGCTACGTACGGTTCGTTCGTATACACGTAATCGGATCGAATGGAATTATGAGTGCGAGTTTGGTGAGACTTACCGGGTGTTTAAAGTATATTCGTACAGAAGGCAACGCGAACGGCAGGAAAAATATTTCACCTGTCACTCCTGAGAACTTTGAATTTGTCCGATGGCTATCTCGATCAACGTGTCTCTCGGTTGGATTGTACAAAATAAATCATGAAACTCGAGAAGGAGTTCAAACTCACGTGTGGCTGTCTAGCAAAGAGAGAAGTTTCACGAGTGGATGATTTAGTGTGTTTAGAGTTGAAATATTAAACAAAAAAATGAAGAATCGGGGAACTCGTATAAAAATATTTTTTGACCGCGAGACTAGTTAGAATTTGCCACTTGAGATACTCGTAACTCGTAAGGCAATACCGGCAGCTGGTTCTGATTATTCACCCTTCGCATGCCGATCTCTCGAGCAGTCGTAAACTATCCGCTTACGCAGAGTTAATATCAACAATTGACCTTAGTATTGATTGACCTATCGTATAAATCGACAATCAGAATTTGTCCGGTTAAATTTGAATATTGAATTTTTTTATTTCATGTACCAAAATTTTTTGGGCCTACGTGTACAGTAATAATGACAAATTATCACGAAGTTTGACAGGATATCAATTTTTTATTTCTTTTTTATCGGGCAAATATTCACGCCTTCGTATATGATAATGAGAATCGTTGATAACGGTGGCGATTTAATTCATTAATAGAACCAAGTGTTCCTTGACTCGTACAAAATA